CGGCCAGGGAAGTAGCTGGTAGTGGGCCACTGTGGGAGCCAGGCTTGGCCCTGTCGCCCTGCAGTGCAGGTCAGCCCCGGGGACTCGCGACTCGCAGTGTTCGACAAGACGGAGGGGACATGGAGGCTGCTGTGTTCTTCACGCTCCAACGCCAGGGTGGCGGGGCTCGGCTGTGAGGAGATGGGTTTCCTCAGGTACCCGGGTGGCCCTCGGGGGAGGGGAGGGTGCAGCGCGGGCCGGGAGGGAGGTGGCTCTGACCCGAGCCCCGCTCAGGGTCCTGGCGCACTCGGAGCTGGATGTGCGAACCGCGGGCGCCAACGGTACGTCGGGCTTCTTCTGCGTGGACGAGGGCGGCCTGCCCATGGCTCAGAGGTTGCTGGATGTCATCTCTGTGTGGTGAGCAGGGCGGCTGCGGGTGGCACTGGACCCCTAGCCTCCACGTGTCGTCCTAACTGGTCGCTTGTTTTGTCTCCGACCTTCCCAGCGACTGCCCCAGAGGCCGATTTGTGACCGCCATCTGCCAAGGTGAGACCGTGGCCTCAAAGCCCTTCTCTAGCTACAGGCCAGCACTGGCGCCCTGGGACCCCAGGGTGGAGTGTGTCCCCACAAACTGCCCGGGACCTCCACATGTCCAAGGTTGGGGAGAGCCCTGTTCCCACAGACTGCTGGGACAGGGCTGTGCGACTGTGCCCTAGAACTCAGATCCCTGTCATTTGAGCCTCCCTTGTCCCCTATCCACAGACTGCGGCCGCAGAAAGCTGCCCGTGGATCGCATCGTGGGGGGCCAGGACAGCAGCCTGGGAAGGTGGCCATGGCAGGTCAGCCTGCGTTATGATGGGACCCACCTCTGTGGGGGATCCCTGCTGTCCGGGGACTGGGTGCTGACAGCTGCGCATTGCTTTCCAGAGTGAGTGTTCCTCACAGTCCTACCAAGGGTGGGGCAGGAGAGAGGTCTGCAGAGGCCGGGCCCAGGGACTTGTCCCTTCTGTCCCGGCAGGCGTAACCGGGTCCTGTCTCGATGGCGGGTATTTGCTGGTGCTGTGGCCCGGACCTCGCCCCATGGCATGCAACTGGGGGTTAAAGCTGTCATCTATCACGGGGGATACCTTCCTTTTCGAGACCCTACCATTGAGGAGAACAGCAATGACATCGCCCTGGTCCACCTCTCCAGCCCCCTGCCTCTCACGGGTAAGCCTGGCAGCCCAGCCTCAGACTGGGGACTCCGGAGACTCTGGCATCAAAGCAGGGGCCCCGAAAAGCAAAATATATCCATCTTCGGGTTTCCATGGTGATAACAGACCCATCTTGAGGGAGCGCAAACTGGGCATTAAGGCTGGAGAGCATGAACGCTAGATAGAATGGCTGCCATACACAATCACCCGAGCCTCCCTTGGTAAAGGAGTCGGGTCACTGTGACCCAGTGATTCCTTTCCAACACGGAAGAGATGGTCGCCCTTAATAGAGCCATTCAATTATAGTAGCCTGGGCATGAAGGCATATGCCTGGAATCCCAGCACTCAGGAGGAGGAGGCAGGAGGGTCAAGTTCAAGGATAGCCTTGGCCACCTAGCGAGATTGAGGCTAGCCTAGGCTACACAAGATACTCTAACAAAAATATAAATAGCTCACCCAGGTAGGACAGCAGTTAGGGGTGGAGATGTTACAAACAGGTAAAGGATCGGAGGTTTTTTGGGGGGAGACAAAGTGTTCTAAAGTGAAGCATGATGGCGGTTGTGCCAATCTGGAAACACGCCAAGGCCATCGACTCATTTACACCTTAGCATGGAGACTTACAAGGCGCGTGAGTTATGGTGGTGAGGAGCTGCAGTAATTGCCAGCAAGGACGCGCCCCTCCAAACACCACGCAGAACTACAGCGTGTGGAGAGGGGCTGGAGAGAGGTCCCAGTGGTTAACAGCACTTGTTATTGTTTTTGTTTGTTTGTTTGGTATTTTGAGACAGGGTTTCTCTGTGTAGCTTTGGAGGCTGTCCTCGCACTCGCTC